ACACACACACACACACACACACACACACACACACACACACACACACACACACACACACACACACAGTGGGAGTGGTACAATGGATGATGTTGTCCAAGCCTGTGGAGGGGGGCCTCGGCATTAGTTACTATAAATGAATGACGACCCAATTACTGTCCCACTTCCCCACTAGGAACAGACGGTAGGGTTAGAAACCCACCGGCCCCCCTCTGAGATCTGAGACTAGCAACTGACACACATGTACTCCAATACAAATACTTGTATTAAACTTAATGCAACATGGAATAGGAGATTAAATGTAAGCAGCCACCATTATTACTTCCTGGTCAGTCATGCCAGCATAAAAACATGAATCCACACAAAGAAATAAATGATGTTTCTCAACAAGAAGCAAGGTCAACATCTCAGACAGCATTCCAACACTTCTGCAAGACTACATTTGTACAAGGTTGATGGAAAATTCCATACAAAGTTCACAGAAATTGTGAAGGTTAAACGTTTGTCTTTGCCGACACACTGGGGGTTTGACAAATAAACAACAAGTATTTCACCTCACATAATTCTTTTAGACGGGGCCAAACATTGCGTGAACAGTTCCCAAGCGTCGAATAGTTTCAAGCCAGCCCGTCCTTCAGAACTAAGTCATGTTTTCAACAATTGATTCCTTTTGAAAAACAAATATTTTAGGGAAATCCTCCGAGTTAGTTTGAATTCATTCTTTAAAACCGTGATACAGAGCTTTTATTTCGAAAAGGTAATAACGAAAAGGCAAATCTGGAGTGCAAGGTTGAAAGGAGCATAGCAGGGTTTTACTTTGTGTTTGCACCATGGAGTCTCTGCATTTAAAAAAAAATAAAAATACAAGTTGTAATAATACTATAATAATACAAATATCACTGATAAGTACGTTTTCAAATGGCGTCCGTTCCGCACAACATGATTGGTTGATGGCTTTGTTTGCCGTGCAAAACCTCAGAAAAACAACCATGTTGCTTTAATGCTGCATAAAATGCATGTTCTGTCTGTAAATAATATAGACAGAAACAACAATCTATTGACGTTTAAATGAATCACATAACGGACCACGCCTAAAAAAGGCTTCTATAACAAAGCTACATGGAAAATATGTCTCTTAATTGAAGTCATCTCCTATAAGAAGTGAGAATTGTGAAAAATGACCTTTGGAAAAATAAATTGGTCTCTAAAAGTAGATACATATGAAATGTTTCTTCTTACCTGGCCAGGCCCATGCAGGGGTCAGTCAGCGTGGTGGATGAGTTGAAGTACTCTCTGGCAGCAGCCAATACTAATTCCAAGCTGTTGTCGTAGCCCACCTTCAGTAAACCTTTCCCCCGGAAAGACAAGCTGACAGGAACATCCTGGCTGACCTGGAAACATGAATATAACATTTAGAGATCAATGGGACTGCAGCATTAGAATTCATTCTTAACAGTTTAATATCTGGAGATCCCAATGGGCAGTGTGAATGTAAAATGGAGTGGGGAGTCATGTTTAATATACCTTGGAGCAGTGCATGAGCTGCCCGGCCAGGCGTACGTTCTCCACGCGGCTGGAACACAGCAGGGACTCAACAAAGACCTGCAGCAGCCAGGGAGGAGAGGGATATTATAAAAAGGAGAGATGGCGTTCAACTGAGAACTAAATATAGTGATTCAGGATGTGGAACACACAGCTCCATTTGAGAATTGTGAAGCAAAGTGTCCTTCAGGGGGGACAGGTGCGCTCAGAAACTTTAAATTACACCCTTTACCTTTTTTATTCAACAATTATCTTGCTATGGTTCCTTTTCTTTCAATTGGTGTATTCTACACCTACGGTGCTATTATGTGATTATATACTTGACCCCCTTTGGTCTCTAATAAAATAATCTGATGAAGCCTGTGTACTCAAAGGTAGTTATTTAACATCTCTGACTACAAGGGAAGACGACGGCGTTCGGGACTTTTTTTCTGCTTTATAATCAACACATTTGATCACAAATCTGATAATACTGTGTCAAATATGTTTGCTGATTTTACCTGGTGACACGTCTCTGGTTTCAGACAGGTGTAGACATTCTTCTGCATGTCCAGCAGGTCCCGCAATAGAGCTGTCCACACCGTCTCACTCACTGGAGGGTTTCTGCACACACATATACACACATTAATGTTAAGTATGTTGAAGGGATGCTGGCATATATTTCTGTTTGTAAGTGTCTTTCTACGTTCATACTTGCGGCCAGTGTGGCGACACAGTTTGACCATCAGTTGGTGTGCCTCCTCTTCACTGGTCTGACTGTTCTTCACATATGAAATGGGCTTTTGCAGACCGTGTTTCTCCAGAATCTCCACCACACTGTTAAGCAAGTAGCACACAATATATAACTCTCTATTGTCATAAAGCAGATAAGTCATATAATAGCAAGAATCAAGCAATCCAACACATATCATGACACAGGGGAAACCATTTGATAGATTCCGATAATGACAATCCTTTGTGCCTGTAGCCATCAGGAGGCACAATCAAGGGCTCACCATGTCACCCATTAAAAGTAACCTGTAATGTACATACATAACATCTGCATGGGTGGTACAAAGGACTATGAACTGCACTCACTCGCACATTTACATGTAAATATATGTAATAATCCGAACCCAAATATGTATATACAGCTCCGGATACAAATAAGAGACCACTGTAGCATTATCAGTTCCTCTGGTTTTACTATTTATAGGTATGTGTTTGAGTAAAATTATAGTTTTTTTTATTGTATTCAATAAACTAATGACGAAATGTATCTGTGTTGCAATTCAACACACACTGGAATGGCTGTCATACAGGAAAAAACAATTTGGAGCTGTATGTTCATTGTTGTGCCATCCAGTTACTACATCATTTTATTTTTAAATGTTTGTATTCTTTTTTATTTGTACCTTGTGTGAATCTTTACTGTCCTGTTTTTCACTCTCACTCTGTTGCTGCTTTAACTCCTGAATTTCCCCATGGGGATAAATAAAGGTCCACCCTATCTTAGTGTAAGCAAGGGGACATAAAGCGCTTATACAACCTCATTTTAAGTAAACCGTCATAGAATAAAGAAGAAAATGACCTGTGCATTTAAACTTTTGATTTTTAAATGCACATTTTAACTTTTGCGCCATTATGCTACTTCCTGTTCTAGTTTAAGCTGCTACGTCGAGGTTGAAGAGTCCAATTGCTGAGGATTACAACAGTGCTAAATAGTGGTCAGGCGTCTAAACACAACATAAAATGAACAATCTTCTGCACAATGTTTTGCATCTAAACTGTTAATTAAAAATGTATACAGTGTTTTTCAACATACTGTAGATGCAGTATCAAATACATAATATGCAGATACTCAAATTTAGTTTTTCTTTCTTTATAGATAATTTTGTATTGCATCTACCATTATAAGTACAACTAATGTGAAAGAAATAGAAAAATATGCTCCAAAGGGCAGAGGATTTGACTAGGGTGCCCCTAAATATTGTAAGCCTAAATATAATAATATGAAATAATCTTCCAAAGTAAGAAAAGAAAAACAGCAAAAGAAAAACGGACAAACGCAGTATCAAATCACATTCATCAACTTGTTTTACAGTAAGGCAGAGGACAGGATGATTGGCAGTGATAGGTGTCACAGGAGAAAAAGGAACAGGGGTAAAAATATATATATTCAAAAACAACTCCCTAACAAGTTCAAGGTAAAGCTCAAATGAGAAAGACAGAAGATGTGTTCGCTCTAAGCTGTTCATTATTTTGGCAGCAGATAGTGGTTTGCAAGCCACGGTGCAACGCTGAAGAGCCCCATGATAAACTACACGACGCACCTCTTTGTAAGCGTGTGTTTGTCTTGGAGCATGTGAGTGCTGGCAGTCACATATGACCCAGGGAGGGAGTGCATGTGTGTGTGTGTGTGTGTGTTGACGTGAAATTAGCATTGCCCCCCCCAGTCTCAGCAGGGTCGTACTGCTACAGATGTTCGCTCTCTGCCGAAACTCATTAGCATAGTAAACAGGTGAGTGTGTACGTGTGTGTGAATGTGAGCAAAAGGTAGAGGCAGACAACAAGCCTTGATATTACCAACGTGTGTGTGTGTGTGTGTGTGTGTGTGTGTGTGTGTGTGTGTGTGTGTGTGTGTGTTCACTGTACATATTAATGTGCAAGCAAGTGGTAGTGGCAGCCGCTGAAAACAGCTTATATTCCGGAGGCTCTCGGGGAGCAGACACTTCGCATTAATGCCTGATTCATCTGGGGTAGAGTGTGTGTGTGTGTGTGTGTGTGTGTGTGTGTGTGTGTGTGTGTGTGTGTGTGTGTGTGTGTGTGTGTGTGTGTGTGACTCACAATGCTTCAGCACGAAATATACATGAACATACTTTCCAGTGTCCCCAGGCTGTGTTTGCGCATGGTGGTGTGTGCCTGCTTGTAAATATGTCTGGATATTTGTCTGCAAAGGCCAACACAGGCTTTCCTGTTGATGCTTCCTCCTCCTCCTCCTCCTCATCCTCATCATCTACATTCCCTTCAGGCTCCCAACCACCCCCTGCCTTCATCCTTATCCTCCTTCCTTCCTCCTCATCACTTCACTGTGTTTGGAAGTTCATCCTGAGGGGAGGGGTGGAGGAGAAAGAGAGAGACACGTACTGTGATTCTAACCTGTAACGGAGAAAATGCCTGAGGCTGTTTGAATACCATGAGACGGACAGAGGTCCTTTGATATTGTGCGTGTGTGTGTGTGTGTGTTGGGGTGTGTGTGTGTTTAGATGTCACGTCCATGTCTCCTCTCCTTCATAGGCCCATGAAGGGGGAGGGAGGTAATAAACATTGCTACAAACTTAAGTGAACATTTCCCAAGCAATGCAGCACTAATCACCCAAGTGATGGGCTTCTCATCGCCACTTTAAATGCCTTGCTAACGGGCACAGGAGTGATGTACGGACGAAGAACCGGAGGTAGGAATTAAAAAAGACAGAAATTATGCAAATAAAAAATGTTAGAGAAATTGAAGTAAACAGTGAGTCTCTATATCTCAGTCTGAACATGATTAGAAAAAGGCTTTAAAGTGGGGCTGAAATACGACCTACCTGAGATGCTTCTCAAGTTTGTCCACCTGATCGTGGAGGGATGCGGTGATGGCCGTGTCTTGTCTGTATGAGGATAAGACAACAGCAAAAAAAGTATTTTGTGTTAATGTCATTAAAAAGCACTAAAAAGTAGAGCAAAATAGAGAAAATGTGTGCATAGTGTGAATGTGCATGTCTCCTTGGGTCATACAGTGTGTGTGTGGGTGTGACTGTGGCCTGCCACTGTGAAGTTGTGCTAAAAATAAAACCCCACGAAGCTTTGCTCTGAGGCAAAGGATTCTGGGTCAGGCTGGCCTGAACCCCACTAGAGTCCTGACCCTGATGAGACAACCTTGTGTGTGTGCATCAGTGAGCGAGTGAGTGTTTTTTCTTTTACATTATCTCTCTGTTTTCACACACATATCTTGACCTCTCAATGTGTTTCTCTTCTTCACGTCTCTGCTGCTTCACCTCCTGTTCTTCCTCTTTTTCTTCCTCATTACATTCCTCTCCCTCACTCACCACCTAATCCCATGCCCATTTCCGCATTTCCCTCCCTCGTTGGGGTGAATGCACATCACATTCCTCTGACAGACCTAATTAAGCTGTCTCAAAAATGAAAAAAAACAGAAATCAGAAAATTGGTTTGGAACTTCTAAGTCATGGTTTCTGTCCTAGCTTGCAAATATGTAATAGTCTATGCTGTGATGGCAATTTTGGAGATTAGCAAGTCAGAGAAATCCTGGGAGAAATTTGAAGCTGAAGGCATTGAATTTACAGTAGAGCCTTGCAGCAATGCTAATCCAAGCACTGCAGAAAGAGAGTCTGTCTGGCAAAGTGAAATGCTTAGAATGAAATGTGCTGATACAGAAAGAAACGTATGAGTATTATATACACTGAAATGTACAGTAAGACCCTATGTTGGGCAGTTAATAAGCTCAATTGCTAAACTGCACTAATAAATGAGAACACTTATTGATAGCACTAATTATTTTCATTTTTGTGCTTGTTAGGGGAGGGATGTGTTGAACTGTGACTTACAGGATGTATCTGAGACTGCAAATGATACTGATACTAAATGTGTTGATTGAGAAACATGGTCTTCAAACATATTACAGTACCAGGAACTTTGTATACGATACTTTGATATAGCAATTATACATTTTTATTGCGACTATTTATTTAGTTGAAAGCAGTTCTGATGAACATTGTTGACAGCAAGATATTCTGATTACTTATTTCTGGAAGGACAACATGCTTCTGTGACTGCTCAATTGTTTATAGCTGTGCCACAGACACATTTTATTCACCTACTGTATGAGGGGTGGCAGCAACAATCTTTATTTCTCAACCTGAACAAATAAAACAGCATATACAACAAACACCAGTGAGAAGCATTAACTGACTATTAGCTCACCTCACTAGCTACTAATAGCTAAGCTAAGTTCAGAAGTAATAGCAGAACTAAACATAGGGCTTTTGTTCATTTAACAGCCTTAGTCCCCGATACAAAGACAACCAATAGCAATGTTTTTAATATTATAGTTATTGCTGTAAAAATGGGTTTGAGTTGATAAGTTACTATCCTCTTCAGTGTTAGCTAGCTTGCTAGCGATGGAATCACCAACTATTAGATCAGGGGTGTCAAACTCAAGGCCCGGAGGCCAAATACGGCCCGCGACTTCATTTAATGCGGCCCCTCAAGAGCTTGCAAAGAATATAATATGTTTATTATACGGTTACATGCCGATTTACAGAAGCACGTTGCCCATAAACTACATATCCCACAATGCATCTCAAATTTGACTTTTTTCTCAGAATTTGACTTTTTCTCAGAACAAGTTTTTTTCTCAGAATTTGACTTATTTTCTTCAAAATATTCATTTTTTCTTAGAATTTGCCTTTTTCTCAGAATTAGATTTTTTTTTAAATCATTTTGTAACATTCTCAGTGAAGAGACTTGCAATGATTTGCCCTAGACTTCTGCTTTCAGACGTAGTTAATTATGAAGTCATTACTCTATCCGATAATAATCCAATGCAGAGGCAATAATGTCATATAATACATTATTTTATATATATTAAATATTTATATATGTATTTTGATATATAGTCTTAAAGTTACAACCGGCCCTTTGAGTGCAACCATAATGCTGATGTGGCCCGCGAAGAAATTGAGTTTGACACCCCTGTATTAGATCCTAGATACTGAATGTTGACCAATAGCTAACAGATCTAAAAACTAAAGAAAAGGTAATTCTCCATCAAAGTTATGTGAAGAGGGGAAAGCTTTTTTTTGTTACATTGGCTGTTTAATTCATGTTTTTGAATTTAAATCTCCTTTATGATTGTTTTGTAGTTGAAATGGGCTAAATAAAAAAGTAATCTGCTTTAATTTGCCTTGGTTAATGTGCTCCCAGGCCATGCCATAATATCTTGTTTTATATCCGCTGCTGCTGTGGTGGAAGCACATAACATGACAGCACAGGCCAGCGCAGACCACCGCAGCCCAGTGAGCAACATGAGCAAAAGAAAGGGTAAAATGCCATTGTTTCAAAGTATGGTTGCTTCAGCCGGCTGTCATGAAAAAAAACTAAGCACTCCTTAGTATAGTAATTAAATTGTCCAATTAAGGTGCACAGAGGAAGGATAATTCATTTTATAACAAGTCACTCTAATTCATTTTAAGTAAGTAGTTATTTTCTCTGCTTCACTCTTGCTTCTTCTTCTCTATGTTTTACTACTGCATCACTCCCTCTCCCTCGAATGCACTGCCTTTCCACACAGCCTCATGGGAGACTTAAAGGACGAGCCCTCTTGCCATATGAAATAAAATGTGCTACAGAAGAAGTGGGAGAGAGAGAGAGAGAGGCCGTGACAGCAATATACTGTAGCTGGGCTAACTGATGGCTCCTTGGAGTCAGAGTTAAGCATGAGAGAGAGAGGAGGAGGAAAAGAAAATGTGCAAAGGAGGGAAGGCAGAAACAGAGGTGGTAGTTAGTTTTATTGATGGGTCCTAGGAGAGAGGCGGAAAGGTGGGAGGGGTAGCAACAATGTGTGTATGTGGCAATGGTGGACAGCGCTCTTTATATTATAGTTGACATTTAATACATCTGTTTGAGAGGGGTGGGCAATATGGCCAGATTCTTAAGTCACAATAAAGTAATTGTTCTGTAAATTAAATGAATAAATGGTTTAAAATAACCAAACAGTACAAAATCAGATTGAATTATTTGCTTATTTAGTTGCATCACACGAGACAACACTTGAGTCAAGAAACTCAAAACAGTAAAACTACAATTATTTCGAAAAGCATTAACATATCTGAGAGCAATAATAAGTGTTACAGGTTTTAGGGATAACAGGTGCAAATAAATACCAGCATAACTTCCTTCAATATAAAGCAATATGCAATAACTACCGAGAGGAAACAAACACTCTCTGCAGGTTTTGATCATCTTTCTTTTAAAATCGGGATTTTGAATCATCACTCTCCTCCTCCATGTCTGCCCAAAGATGTTTGCCTTGCGAGGCAGCTGGATATGAGAGATTGCTGCGTGTGTGTGTGTGTGTGTGTGTGTGTGTGTGTGTGTGTGTGTGTGTGTGTGTGTGTGTGTGTGTGTGTGTGTGTGTGTGTGTGTGTGTGTGTGTGTGTGTGTGTGTGTGTGTGTGTCTGACCCATAGCCCCTCTGTGGCAGACACTCCAGGATGTCGTAACAGAGGCTGAGTTGGTCGTCTCTCTCACTGCTGTAGATGCTCTCCAGAGCGACCGCCATCAGCTGGTCTGGGTCCCCGATGATCTTCTGCTGGCACTGAGGTCAAAGAGAGGAGAGGAGAGGACAAGTAGGGAGAGGAGAGGATAGGAGGGGAGAGGAGAGGAGAGGAAAATAAATGAGAAGAGGAGAGGAGAGGACAAGTAGGGAGAGGAGAGGAGAAGGGAGGAAAATAAATGAGAAGAGGAGAGGAGAGAAGAGGACAAGTAGGGAGAGGAGAGGAGAAGGGAGGAAAATAAATGAGAAGATGAGAGGAGAGGATAGGGAGAGAGGAGAGGAGAGGAGAGGAGAGAAGAGGATAGGAGAGGAAAATAAATGAGAAGAGGATAGGAGAGGAGAGGGGATGAGAGGAGAGGAGAGGAAAATAAATGAGAAGAGGATAGGAGAGGAGAGGGGATGAGAGGAGAGGAGAGGGAAATAAATGAGAAGAGGAGAGGAGAGGAGATGAGATGAGAGGAGAGGATAGGAGAGAGGAGAGGAGAGGATAGGAAAATAAATGAGAAGAGGATAGGAGAGGAGATGAGATGAGAGGAGAGGAAAATAAATTAGAAGAGGAGAGGAGAGAAGAGGATAGGAAAATAAATGAGAAGAGGATAGGAGAGGAGAGGGGATGAGAGGAGAGGAGAATAAATGAGGAGAGGAGAGGAGAATAAATGAGAAGAGGATAGGAGAGGAGAGGAGAGAGGATGAGATGAGAGGAGAGGAAAATAAATGAGAAGAGGAGAGGAGAGGGGATGAGATGAGAGGAGAATAAATGAGAAGAGGATAGGAGAGGAGAGGAGAGAGGATGAGATGAGAGGAGAATAAATGAGAAGAGGGTAGGAGAGGAGAGGTTTTTGAGGCATGACTGAGTCTTTTTAACATCCAGATTCAAGCACTGTATCAATTTGACCATTTTTTTCTTTCGAGTGTGTGTGTGTGTGTGTGTGTGTGTGTGTGTGTGTGTGTGTGTGTGTGTGTGTGTGTGTGTGTGTGTGTGTGTGTGTGTGTGTGTGTGTGTGTGTGTGTGTGTGTGTGTGTGTGTGTGTGTGTGTGTGTGTGTGTATACTTACATCAGGTTTGGAGTGTTGGAAGACGATGAGAGGCAGCTTGAGGTCTTGCTGGGCCAGGCTGACCAGGAACTCTCTGAGCAGAGATTTAGCAGCGCCCTCTTTCTGCCCCTCACATCGGTGCAGGAACGGCACCATCCACTGGAAGCTGTCCTTTACGTACCGCTCCATGCTGGACTGGTGGAGGAAAGACAATTACTTTAAGTTTATGAATCCTACTAAAATTGATACAATCAGGTGCCCACACACCCCTAGGTCTAATAAAACACACTGTAAAACTTCTTTATCGTCTATTTTACTCTATAATGGGACCATCATTTACAAAATGAACAGGCTGTATTTAAGAAGACTTGAAAGTAGGGTTTGAGACCATAAACTATATGGGAAACTGTTTACTGAGGTAATAAATGAAGGAGAAGTAGTGTCATTTCCCCATAGTCTTCTATACAATCAGCCTTTTTTTCTGTGGACAAAGTTGGCACAAAAAAATATGTTTAAAAAATCTGCCATTGGATTCTCTGAGCTCTGGGTTTTCTTTTCCTAAATCCTTAGGGATTTTATTTCACATCTTTCCTCGGTATTATGACACTTTCCATCAAGGTCCACCAAATTCATACCACCACTGTACCATCCTTGAGAAACACAATTTCTTGAGTTTTGACAATTTTAAGTCTTTTAAAAGTATGTGCTTTATTTATAAATGTTTACATGGACTGCCCCCCCCCCCCCCCCTTAGGGGAATTCTTCCACAAAAAACACACTGGACGCTGCACTAGGTCAGAAACCAGAGGAGACTGTGAAGCCCACCGTAGACGGACTACTTTTGGACAAAATGTCCTTTCCATTAAAGGCAGCTCTTTGTGGAATAGCCCCCCAACTGAGATACGGGATTGTCCCACTCTCAATAGTTTTAAAAGGACAACTTAAAGAAAGGTTGAGAAACAAACGGACGTGTACCGTAATCACCGCTACAGTAAATGCACTTTAACACAGGGGTAATTTCTTTTTCACTTTATGAAGCTCTTTTTTTGCACTTTTTGTCATAGCTGCTACATTGTACTGCCTTGTGGTAAATGCTTGTATGCTGCTCATGCTCTTTCTGCATATCATGTATTCATTTTTGCCATGTATATAACTGTCATGTTCATAAATGTTGTATGTGACGGGACTACGGATGGAAATGAGCTCAAAGCTAAAATCCGGCTCATTTACATTTCAAAGCATTATTTTGTTTAAAATGTTCATTAATGTGCATTTTCCCGGTTCAAATAAACGATTAAATGAAATGAAATGAAGGTGAACAAAAAAGGTTGTTCGGAACAGATGTTACATTTTAGGGTTATTTTGACCGCAGCCCTGGAAGCTCAACTATACAGTTATTGGCTGCTCTGTATTTTTGAAATATTGGTGAAAATATGAAATTTAAATTCTTCTCATCCAGGGTCAGAGCTACCTTTGGCACTGCTTTATTATTATTCTCTTCTTTGTGCAAAATAATGTTTAGCAAATGTCAAGCGATTTAACTGCATTCCAATGTCAAAACGGGCCAAATGTCCCCTGAACAGTATGTAAGGGTTAAGACATCGAAACATGCCATGCATATTAACCTTGACTTGAAGTTATAATGGCTACGGTGTGTGGGTTCTGATTTGAGATGATGCATGTCTAAATCTTGCATGGCCTCGAACCCACCCACATTGCAACAGCTCTGATTCAGGGATACACAGATAAGAGAGCATCCACAGGAACATTTTGGATTGAAAGAGATATACAGATGCTAAATGCAAGCTTGCACCCCCAGACATGAACATTTTATTTTGCTGAACTGTGTCTCTGATAAAGAAAGACATGAGATGCAGGGATAGAGGAAGATTTTTCACACACACACACACACACACACACACACACACACACACACACACACACACACACACACACACACACACACACACACACACACACACACACACACACGGGAGAAGCAGTCAAACAGCATGTGTTAGTGCAGTCAACTACACAGTACGGAGGATCCTATTGGCTCTGGTCGTCACAGGCTAAAGCTGGCAGTTATTAGGTAGAATTTAGAGGACAGCTCACATGATGTAGTCCGAGGAGACTTGTAACTGTAGTACCTGGAACACACTTGCTTTTATAACTCTCTTTAGTCCATGTAGGATGATAAGTTTATACTATCAAATATCAGGGAATTCAGAAACTGATTTACAGTGAGATCTTAAATACATATTTGTATTGTATTCATTGCCTTTTCAAGGTCCAATAACCAATAGGAAAATGGAAAAAAAGCTTTCTAATTTTTACTGACAATGTAAACCACTACAAAAACTCAACTATAAAAAGCAGCATGTCGGTAAATGCACATTTAAATATTATAGTGGGAAGAAGGCTGCATTATAAAAACATCATAAATGTATAAATGTTTTCATTTCCTAATGGGTTTTGGTCAAAACTGTAAAAATATGTTTGCTTTAATGGCTTGGCTTTCAAGGCAACATGAGGACATCAGTGTGATAACAGCAATTTGATCAGACTTCCATCAACCACTTTATAGTTTTATGAATCTAATATCTCATTTCAAAACATATTATGGGAATAAAGCCTTTCAAGGGAAAAGTCAATTGGGCCACTTACATTTTTCATGAGCAGGCGGAGCTTGTCAATGTCACTTAGGTGCTGCAGATCTTTAAGTGTCAAACTCAATTCACACGATGTCTCGTACACGAGTGTTTCCATGGTCACCAAGTCATCGCACAGGATCTCTAGCCCCGGGATCTCCCGCTCCTTCGCCAGGCGCACCAGCGACAGGGCGCAGTCCACCTGATGGAGAGAGGGAAAATAAACAACAATACTTCTTTAGACAAGGAGAGCCTTGTAAGGTAGATTTTTGGAGACTTGCCAGCTGGTTATCTATTAACTATTGTACTGAGTTTTATGAGATTAAGACCTCAACAGCCATCCTAGTGGTTTTTTGAGGCCAAAATAGCAAATAGTTAAAAATGTATTGGTCAAAATGGGACTTTATGATGGCAATAGATGAAAAGTCAGGGGGGGGAAAGACATTTCACAAACCACGACTGTGAACACCAAAATCCTTCCAACGTTGTCAAGTCATGCTGAAGCACGCTGGTGAACATGAAATGTTTATTCTCTGTCTGTTTAAAATGTGGCATTGCAATCCATCCAATAGAGGTTGAACCTACTGCTGATTACTTTTGATTATTTGTATTACTTTGAAAGTAAACATACACTTTGTGAGCCATTTTTTAAGACTCTGAATGACAACTCTTTGACTTGTTTTTCGCTTTTCTCTGGCCGGCACTTTTAGGATAAATTAACCAAATGCAAAAAACAGACAGTTATCTTCAGAGAGGTTCTGCAAGATGATGCGATAATCATGTTGAAATTCGACATTTAACTGCAAGCCGTCTAATAAAACTAATTCCAGAGAGTGGAAAAAACAGATTGGACTCGGTGTACTCCAATCCAAAGTAGTACAGACACACTGAAGAAATCCTAACATTTATGAAACCCGTAATTATTCATCTCTGGTCTTGACCCTATAAGATCTATATATTCATTTGGTCAATAATTCAACCTACAAATATTCAACATTTATTATTCAACTGCGCTGCACATATATCATTTTGTATTATTGCGGTATTACCAATTACTTATAATAGTAATACAAATATGAGTATTTATATCATTACAAATATATATACACTACTGTCCTGTAATATACAGATATTTAAATATATATTGTTGCTATATTGTTTTCTTTTACTATGTTTATAAAACTATTTTTATTTTTATATAAAAATGGACCAACTGTTAAACAAATCCAATTTCCCCCTAGGGATAAATAAAGTATTCTTATTCTGATTTACTTGTATCTTTCCGCCATGTTGAATCCAGTTAACCCAGTCAAAGTAACTCGTGCAGCAGGTGAACATCGTTTTGAACAAGATGTCATTGAATAACCGTTGCTGAGTTCAATAACATCAGGACCAATCTGAAACTAAATAATACCAGTCAGTCATTACTGATATGCAATCATTAGTCTTGGGACCATAAAACAGTGGAAGATGTGGGCTTCCTGCTACTCTGATCCATAAAACTCCAGAAGAGCAACCAATCGATAACCGACCACCTATATGCTGGCAGCACGCCCGGCCAATCAATGCTCAGCCACCTGCGGATGCCAGCCAATCGATAGCAGATGCCGCTGGGCCCTGTAGTGATGATTGCTTTCTCTCCACCTTTTAGACAAGGAGGGCCCTTCGGCAGAGCTCTTAGCGTGTTGCTCGTGCACGAGGCACATTAGACGCACGCTCACGGGGTCTGCCACCTTGTCATTTGGCTGATCTCTCAACAACTTTGCTACTGAATAAATAAGTGTATGCCTCCGCGAGAGAGAAACCCAAATCACCTTGAGTCAGAGCCTGAGCAATTAGATACAACAAGAGAGAAGTCTATTGATCTAACTGTGAGTGAAGACCCTCCCCGTCCCCTACACCCTTCCCTCTTTGCTTCACTGCTCTCCAGAGATAGATTCCCCAGCTATCCACAGACAATTCAGATGCTAAAATCTCACACTTTTTAATTACAAGTTCGCCTCCGTGCCCTCCCCTCATCATTCTCTCCAGCGTGTAACACAACTCTATCTCTTTTCACCCCGGCACATTTCACAGGCTCTCCGGTCTAATTCTCAAACTCAATTTGAACTTTTCTTTGTCTCTCGGCCTTGTCCTATGTCGGCCAATTTCTTTCACACATCATTTCCACATTTTCTCCTCTTCTCGCTCTTCTCACCTCATGCAAAATCTCTCTAAAAGTCACCATGACTGGCCTCCATTTGAACTCCAAGTCTGGCCCTTTTCCCTTCTCTGTGTGCCTGCCTTCCCTCTCAGTCTGCTTTCCAAAAGCTAGCCTCTCATTTTGTTCATAATATCCTTTATTTCTGCCCTTCCATCTCCTTGTAACCTGTGATTTTGGTTGCCTACAGACAGCTCTTAACATGAGATTGCTTTCCTTTTTTACCTCAATAAATGTTAGTCCTGACCTTCCCTATTTTTGTGTTTGAATAACACTCCAACATAACAAGGGATGTCGCATTGGCCCAGCACTTATCCTCCTTTTTTCTTTGTGTTGATTGAGCTTCAAATTTCCTCTTTTTCAAACCCATCTCTCTCTCCGAGTCATTCTGTCAATCTTCCCATTCAGCGCCTCGCTTCATGCGGCTCTGTGACCGGCTTTAAACACTCCAGCTTCCTCTGATGTGCCTCCTTTTAATCAAAACCCATTTTCCTCCATTAAAACGCTCTCCCAAGCATAAACACGGCCTGATGAGGGATGGGAGGAGGCTGCAAACGAGAGAGAAACAAATTAGATGAAAAAGTAAAGAGGGCAGGAGGGAGGGGGGAAATGAAACTCAGCAAATGGCAGCAGAGCCAATGTCTTTCTCTCTCTGTTGCGCCTATGCAAGTGTGAAAAAAAAGGAGATGTGTGAGAGTTTGGGATGCTCCCAAGATGCTCCTGGAGTAACGTGTGAGAGAGCAAGAGGAGATTCAAAGGGAACAAGGGAGAGAATGAAGGAGAGTGTGATTTCTAGGGATACAAAAATACTTCCTGTTACCGAGTCCTTCTTACTCTCTCTTTGAGTGGATGATGAAAGGCACGATTTCCTGGTCAGCTTCAAAATATGAGCAATGGACTCCCAAATTCTCATTCTCCATCCCTCCATTACACCAAGTGAAAGGGATGGAATGGAGAAATGAGGGGGAAAGATACGACTTCACCCTGGTTAGTCCTTTCACAGAGACAGAAGAGAGGGCTGTGACTTGATCCATCAGTTTGGAGGAGGTAAGGACGGGACATGTGGAAAGTGTGGGTGGAGAGAGGGGGCAGCTCCGGCGGTTACATCCCATTACTCCGCTAAACAAGTTCTATCAAGTCCTTTTTTTCAGTTACAGCTTGAGACCGCGGACGACAGAAGCTTTGGTTACTCTTCATTACAAGCCCATATGGCAGATACGATAATGCCTGTCAGATAGGATCAAAGTGACCTTGACTGATGGAGGTTGGCATCATCTCCCGTCACGTTTATAAGAGCAATGTGCAACGGCAATTATCTTTACAATTGCCAGATGTCTATTAATTAATGTTATGCTGCTGTCCAGTTAAAATAGTAGAAGGAACCTTAGCAGCTTTTAATCTACAGGAAGTCCCCTGCTTATAATAATTTTTTTTTTTTAAACAATGTACGCAAAACCAATTAAATAAAAAGCTTTTCCAACAGAGGAACATTTACCAACATTTTGTATGCTGTTGAACAAAATGTAAATATCATAAAGCAATTTTTTAACCACATACCTTATTTCGTGAATCTATCCAAAAAATCATCCTAAAACACCATGGACAAGCCCGGATGTACTAATGATAACTAATTTCCGGGTTTAGGACTCATTCCTGCACCACTCTATTGTTTTTTGCCATCATTAGATGTGGGTACCTGTCTGGAGCAGGAGTCGATGTCCATAGCTCGGGTTTGGTACCAGTCGGTCAGCAGCTCGATGGACGGTGTCGCCGTGCGGAACCTCAGCCTGTCTGTAGTCTCTTCGTACAGGAAACTGTCGTCATCAAACAAGTTCTGTTCCAGCATCGCTCTAAAAAGGAAAACATAGAGGGAGAGTGTGAATGTGTCAATTTACACACTTTAAAGTCTTTTTCCAGTATAAACATCAGCCCTTTTCATAAAAGTGTCAATAAAATGTGAAAAGAACTTGCACTATCAACTGAATTGCAGGACCATCAGATAGCCTCATGAAGGCTTAGTAACAGCATAAGTTTCAAAATCAACGAATGCATTATTGATCAGTACTAAATAAGAAGGTAGTGCTCAGAAAACTAAATGTATTTTTGAATTTATGAACGATTCAAAATCAACAGGGGCTGTAGAAACAGTGATTTCTCCCTCTTTCTTTGTCTCTCTTCTCTCTGTGGATTGCTATAATGGGGGGGATGGAATTAGCGCCAAAGGTTGTATTTAAAACCATAAAACACAAGCAGGCTGAGAAACCATATACTGTCTTTCTACCAATCTCCTACTCTCTTTTTCAGCACTACGGACAGCACCACATCTTCAACCTACTGTATATACACAACATACACCTTCAATCATTGGGCCAAAAAAAACAGTTTTTGTCAATCAGCTTGTGTTTGGCAAGACTTGAACAATCAAGACTATAAAAAAAATCTTATTCCAACACCTCACTAAATATTCTACAAACATAAATTGTCTGTCGGATATGGCTAATTGCTCTGTGCCATCGTGATTAATTTGAGTAGAAAATCAATTAAAAACACATTTTCAATGGCCAATATCTTTCATTATCATTAATGGGTACTGTGTTTTATTCTAACTCGGTCCCGTATTTACTCGCTGTAAATTGCTGCTTTAAATACATTTAGCATTTTCAAAATGAGCGTAATATATTCATAAAGTATTTTCTGTTTGCAGTAGCAACCACTGGGCTAGAGGTAGAGAGGACGCCAGCTGAGAGTGAGACTAACTCAGTGTTGATTTGGGTCTTCTCATGGGATTTTTCAAAAATAACAAACACATTTGATATCAACACCTTCATCCTTTCAGGCGGAGGGTAAGAGCAGTAAAAAATAAGAAAACATTAACAATAGAAAGACAAATAGGGAGAATGTGGATATAAAATGCAGAAAACAAGAAGTGTGGATGTCATAAACATTGTCTTACACATTGCTGCTGTCATAAAATCGCAGCTTCCACCCTGCAATCCCCAGCCAAACACACATAGCAAAATAGCCAACTGATATAATGACTCGACACCAAAGAGCACTAAAATTAGCTTGCTAAACGAAATTGTAAATGAAGCTGGCCTCCCTACTGCAGCAAGCAAATTGCGTAAATTGGCAGTGCTACAAGATTTGGTATTAGTTTGTTATGGTTCTGCTTCACATTTAGATAATAAGATGTCATGTTTTGTTTCACATAATGATGCCAGCACTAGAATCTGGCCTGTACAGAGCATGGATTTGAACAGTTGCGGGAATATTTGTTATCATGGGAGATTTTACTCTCACATCAGGTGATTTAAAGTATTGGTTTGTTGAAACCCTTGATGTGATGAGAAAGGAGATCTTCAGTGTTTACCTGCATTCCTCCACCTCGCACCAGTCCATCTCTCTGTGTCTTTCTTCGTCCCATGGAATCAAAGCCAACTCGTCTCCATCCGTGCTGAGTTTCAAAGACAAAGAGACCAATATGTTAAAAAGAAATAAAGGAAAAAACACTACAAGGCAGAGCATGACATAGAAAAAGTAAGGAGAAGAGATGTACTAAATTAGAGTAAAAGAGGTCAGTTTGTGGGAAAAGCATAATCAAAAGCTAATATCAAAACAAAGACCAATGACTAGCCAGGATTCAACAAAAAAAAGCACACCAGACCTAAAATGGCAGCTGATAAATCAGCAAAGACATTTACGGTCTCAAACTAAACATGGTCATAAACAACAGGAACATTCTGGTGAGAGGTAGCAGCATATGGGAAATGGAAACAGCGGCGCATAATAAGCAAAGAACGGGGGAGAGAAAAAACTAAAAAGCACAGCAATAAACTATTCAAAGAACTTCGGAAAAACAGTCGTGCCTCGGTTGTAAATAGCCGGGACATTTATTTTTCTAAACGCTGTGTCGGTGCTAAGCTTTACTCCTTCCTGGTCTCCTTGAGTGTGACAGGTCTGACAAAGATAAATAGGGAACACACGAGAAAAGAACCCAAAGTGAAGAATGACTCTGTAACCTCGAGTGTCAGTGCTGACAAGACTCAGACACTAACACCCACAAACACATGCACAGGCTCACAAACTGGGATACTGGGGTGCTCAGAAGCAGTTTTATATCTTATTTTAGGATTAATGCATTTTGCCCTGTTATCTATTTGTCTTTAGACAGAAAAATATGTATGTGGCTGTAAAACTCAAGGAGATAACGCGGGCTACAAATCATCTATAGCTTTGGTACAGTTAAAGGCCGAGTGCACTCGCGCTACTGCAGTTTTTTTTTAACACGGCCATAAATTCTACCCAATCACAAAATACATAAGATGTGTCCGAGTAGCGGATGTGATTTATGTCAACGCGCAAAAGAAGGAAAACTTCTACCAACGTTCCAGCACGAGTCCATCCATTCAGATTGGAGTTTTAACACCGAGAAGATAGAGATCGAGAAGTCTTCCCCTAAAAGTGAACTTCTTTCCCTTTTTCTTTCTGTCGTTCCCCATCTCCCTGCTCCTCTTTCCTCATTTAAGACAGGTTAGAGGGTGGAGAGTAAATATTGGTGTGAGAGCTCGGATATCGATGGGAGGAATTAATTATTCCGCGCCCGCTCCCCTAATCTACTTCATGTCAGCCTGAGAGAGGAGAGGGAAGAGAGGAGGCTGGGGGGAAATGGAGATGCAAGACAAACTTTGTGCTAGTTTATTTTTACTCCCACCAAGCTAACCCTTTGCGAGGTAGAAGTATTCAACAAAATATCACTCTTCTGTATTCTTCAACAGGTCCCATTGCAGACCTGATCGATGTACAACAGGAGAATATTTTCCCCTTTCAGTGTAGCACAAGATTTTTGTATATTGCAAGTGAGCTCCAAACAGATGGCGTGAGCTGACTCCTTCTGCTGCAGTGGAAGAGCGACGCGAGGAGCGGTTGGTGCTCACAGGCTGGGGGAAACAGGAAACTGCCCCACAGCGGCAGAGCCATGATGGATGCTCACTGCAGAGCCACAGCCACCTGACCTCCATACAAACTTAGACATGGCTAACAAAAGGGAGCCGTGTTGGCGGTGTGCGCTTAGGTATATCCGGGAGCCATAGGAATAATAATTTGTATACATTTATTTATTTTTTAACTCCAGGGGACATTGTATTCATGTGTTTCTTTAAAGGTCACCTATTATGCAAAATCCACTTGTTCATTTATTTTATACATCAACATGTGTAAAGAGATTCTGAACATTTCAGGAAAAAGGTTTCGCTCACTTTTTGTCCTGATCCATTTATATAAAAGCCTGTCTGAAAATTAGCTGATCAGATTTTGGCCACTTTATGATATCATAACGATTTTTTGGCTTGTGTAACCATTAGCCAATAACCAACCTAGGTAACCCCCCCCCCCCGAGTTAAAGGTATCAAAAAGGCAAAAGTGGATGGCAGGCTGCACTCATCAGTAAATCCAGTCACCTTTACTAGTGAACCTTAACGGGGTGNAAGTTTAAGTTCAGCCTCCCCTTTCCCCACCACAGCAGCCGAAAAGGCCACATTATTAACCCGAAAGTACACAAAAAGTACACTTCAGATGCTCAAGTTCCTTGACATGCTTCACGCTTTGAAATTTCACCGATATCTGTTACGGTTCTTTGACAAAACGTTCACATGTAAGAGGTTTATCTCTCATTCAGAACAATGCAAATGCTCTCCTCTCACTGATTACTGCACATAACCATGGAAACCTTTGATCTCTGGACACGTCGTTAGCTCAAATATGAACACCTGTGTCATGGAACACGATGATGTCATAACTCCAACTGACATGCTCAGAGCATCAGACTTCAGATAATGGTTAATGCTCCTACCCTCAACAGCTCTACATCAATTATGGGGTGTCATCATATGCCGTTACCATGGAAACGCATCCCTCGCCATAAAAGACGATGTCGCTATAACTCCTATGAAAATGTTCAAAAAGTGCTCAAACTTCACATGTGTGCTAACAGTCCAGCCGTGAAGACATCTACGGGACAGTTTTGAGATATCTTCAAATGCTGTTGCCATGGCAACACAATGCTCGCCATGAAACACGGTTTTCTCATAACTTCAGTGAAAATGCTCCAAACGGCCCAAAACTTCACAGGTTTGGTAACGATACCCCAGTGTTCATGTCACTTCATCATTTCAATCTAAATTCTTCACTTTATTCTTACACATTACATTTCAGCATAGCAGTTTAGCGTCAGCGTTTCAGCATAAAGCATTCCCACTAGCAATTTCTTCAGGAATTGCATTCTCTAGTTTTAAATGTGTTTTCCTTATTATTGTTTTATAACTTATTGCTGCTAAAGGTCCATTTGCGCTTTTGTATTTTGCATATTTCCATATGATGGGTTGTGTGTTTTGTATGTACTTTTCCTGTCCTTGGAGAAGCCAAAGACACATTTCCATTTAAGTGGAAAATAAAATCAGTCTACTCTAATCTAAAAATGAAATTGAAGTGAACAATCAATAGAAAAGAACATGTAAAAATGCACCCAAACTGAGAAACTCATTCCTTTTTTATACTTTCATTCGTTCTTAATTCTTTTTTTCTACAACAATTCACTCTCCGAACATAGAAGCAGCAGTGTAAAAATACATCCATTGACTTTGGGGACAGGCGCCCTCTCGGATGTCTGCAAATTAACATTTACACCTCTCTGGAACGCAGTCGTCGAACGCCTACCTACATTTCAAATTTAAAAGCACCCAAATCTGGAATTACACCTCCGTTGAAGCTTGCACTCGGAGGTCTTTCTCACTTCTTCTTCCTTTTCTTTGTTCTCACTCTCACACAGCGGGAACTTTTCTTACATTACACATGTGTACCCACAGAGCTTAAGGGCATTTGCAAACACGGCAATGGCATAAAAGGAGCAACACTTAATTGCCTCGTCTAAATTTACACGCAAACAAAATTGAACACTTTAAAAGGATACAACACTTGGGGAGTGCAGTGGGTGCACTGATTTTGTTCTAGTTCTCACCTCTGCTTTGGGATTGGAGGAGCGCTGAAGGGGGAGAGGATGTGTGACAAAGAGATGATGGAGGAGTGTTTTGGAGAGGAAGAAGTCATTACTCACCCCGTTAAGGTTCACTAGTAAAGGTGACTGGATTTACTGATGAGTGCAGCCTGCCATCCACTTTTGNACTCAGAAACCTCATTCCAACTTTAAAATGTTACACATCTTTCTGACATTTTAATATCTCTAAAAGTAAGAATCAGATTTAAAAGTTGTGTTACACGAATAATGTCAGAAAGATGTGTAACATTTTAAAGTTGGAATGAGGTTTCTGAGTGAAAGTATGAAGGAGCAGTTAGCAGTTGAAGAAGGAGCAGTTAGCAGTTGAAGTTGCATGAAGATTGTTGAAGTCTGAAGAGTTTCTCCATTGACTTCCATGATAAAAAATGTGATGTATTATGGGATGTATCTCTGGAATTATGAAAGTTATGAATGATAAAAGTAATAGCCATCGATTCCCGACCGAGCTGAACGTTTTGATGTTTTGAACGGAGTTTCTGTGATGTAGGAGAAGAAGAGGCGCAAAATAACCCGGCGGAATAATAAAGAATTTTGTGCGTAGCATAACAGATAGTTGGAATGCTGTGTCAGCATTCCCACTAAATAATAGCAGCACTCATGATTCAATGTTTGTGTGTGTTGACATAACTGTTGTGGACAGATATTTATTTGAAAACATCAGTGGTGACAGTACACAGCCTTGTGGTACCCCAATATATAAAACAAGCTCATCTGAGTAGACCTCCGTCCTTAAAACATTCTGAGGGTGCTGCTGAATCCCATGTTTTCCGACTTGGCAGCTAAGAAACCAACACAGTTGTTTAATTTCACAGTTAGTGAGTTTTGTTTTGTGTGACTGGCACTTCAGATACCCAAATGTATGGGCACAAGCACTGAAAAGTTGAGCTTTACATGATATGTCCCCTTCAATGGATTTATTTTGTGCTACAGTGTAGTGTAAATTACGTAAAAATCGGATTAAAATGGTTTATGTTTCTTAGGAATTTGAACATAAATAATCACCCTCCTGTCAGTATAAATACACAGGGTGCAATTTGAATAACATATTCTTTCCATGTTTCCTCCACAGGACTCAAATGAAATAGCACCTATTTCAACATGAAGACAGGAAGGCAGCAGCTTACATTTATTTTTGAGCCTATTATGTCAGGACAAAAACAATCATTTCCCGTTTTAAGAACATTTAACAAATGCGGGTGTGCATATGTATTACTAACCGGGCTTCAGGCAACAGGGTGGTGTACTCGTGCGGGGAGGTGGTTTCTGGGAAGTTGTGCAGGATAGCTAATCGATGCTGGAGGAGTTCGGCTCCGTGATAAGTGAACAGGATGTCCAGAGCCTGCACATTACTCTCCTGCAGGTAAACAAATACATGACAATAAATGAATACATACTCAAAGGAAAAGCACAAACTTTATGGCAGTCAGAAACTAAGCCGCTATTCTAACACAATATATAAGAGGGGAAATGGCTCCAAAACACTTAGAAATAATCAAAGAAATAAACACAGGAGCCAGTATACTAAATAAACCTAGACAAAACAAATGCAGGCCGGCAATAAATCTTACCTTGAAGAAGGTTATAGTTACGTGTAATTATACTGCATTTGTTTCGTGAGTGTGTACCACATGAATGCAAAACATAAATCTACAACAGCTGCAGACAGATGTACTACTCACTGAGAGTACATGGTGCTCCTTTTACTATAGCTGCATGTGAATTATGTGGTTTTTTTTGTAGATAGTTAAAATATACCTTCTGAGTTTCAAATGTTGGAAATACAAACAAATGACGCATTTCTGCATTTTACACACAAAGAGAGTAAAGACATCAAATTGTTTTTTCTATTTTGTGAGAAAAAGTTTGATAACTAGAAAAAAAACAAGAGCCTTATTTTACCCTGGCGTAGTTTCTTGCTGACAAAACGATATTTTGACTGCGGAACTTCTTGAAGAACTCAGCATCATATTTCTGCTCCGCTGCGTGAGGTCCGCCAAGTATCTCCTGAAGAGTGTAAAGCATGAGAGAGAAAGAAAAAGAGACGAGAGGAATTAGAATTGGGGAATGCAACGGTGGTTCATAAAACAAGACATTTGTGAATCAGAGGGTTATCTTTACAGAGAAAATAGTGCGAGTAGAAAGTCAAACGAAGATGAGACGACCAAAAAAGAGCGAGCAGAGGATGCGACGGCAGATGAACGCACAAAGACAAAGTCAACAGAGATGCTATTTAACTTCTTAGCATGCAGCTGTTGTGTCCTTTTAGTCGAAACCATCAGAGGAAAGTACGAAAGTGTGTGAGTGCACACGCCTGTGTCAGGAGGGAACATTTGTTGTCCTGGCCTTTGGCTCAAAAGGATTTATGCATGTCTGTGTGTATAAAATATCTGTAGCATCCTCTATGCCAGGGTGTGTGTGTGTGTGTGTGTGTGTGTGTGTGTGTGTGTGTGTGTGTGTGTGTGTGTGTGTGTGTGTGTGTGTGTGTGTGTGTGTGTGTGTGTGTGTGTGTGTGTGTGTGTGTGTGTGTGTGAGACTGCGTGTCTGATGGATGGCCCTTTGAATGGCCCGTATACAGACAGAGCCAGCCAAAGTCAGGATGATAAAAACCCTAATATCATATTCATAGACAGCCAGAGAAAATGGATTGGGGCAAAAGGAATCTGACGAGGGCTGCAGTTACCATGACAATGTCCGAAATAAAAACGAGAGACGTCACTCTGTCTGAGCTGAATATGAAGCAGGCATCTCCTCTCCTGCATGGGAGAAAGTGCGTCCCTTTGATGAAAAGGGCGTGTGTGTTAACATTATTCATCGTAAATCTGAAATCCAGAGTGCAAGTGTCAAAGTCCCACTTTAAGCATGTAGCTATGTATGCTGCACGTATGCTTATCTAGGCCTATTAATGTTAGAGTGGAACCATATTTCCTTATGTCAAATTTAATTCCCATCTAGTGAGTTACCAAACCTTCATTCTTTTAATTATACACTTCACATGCCTCTCACGTAACTATCTGCTCCAACTTTTCAATATTTCTAAAGAGATTACTGGGGTTAAGAGAGAGTATCAATAAAAGGCAGATGAGAAAAGCCTCTGTGCTTTGGGGGGATTCGATATGAAAGGAAGAAAAAAAAGAAGAAAATGTTCAGTTGCCGCTTGGAAAACAACTAAGTAATGAAGAATATTTTCAATAAAAACGTAGTGTGTCTCTTATGCAAACATGTAAATAAACACATCATATAATCCTTTAGTGACGCTTACATTTAGAATTATCTGAATAGTGGTTAGCAGTACAAATACTTCTTCCCATGTAGTTTCACAAAGGGAAGCCTAACTTGTGTATGCTTGATTTTCTATCATACAATAGTCTGGAAAATGTCCATTCATACTACTTTGAGACCACCACTCAACACACGATTAGAAGGAGTTTCAATAATAATGGACATTACTGACTGTTCAATATGTATATAATGTATATGAATGCAGAATCTGCATGCAATGGGACAACATTTTGGAAACTTTCTTTTTGCACTGCAGTCTGAGAAGTATTGACCAATCGTCTTTGAGAGGGCTTTGAATGCAAGCGGGTAAGCTGACTGTGTGAATAGAAAAAGAGGCATTGACCGGCTAATGTCCAACAAAAATGTGTGTTTTTTTTTTTTTTTTTTAAATCAGACTGTAAACAATCAGAGGTGGACAGAAGAAAAAGTCTTGACCTGGATATTCGCTGAGTACACCGGAAACCTTGAAAATGGTAGCCGTTTGCCCCAGAGGATAGTCACATATCTGGTGTGTTCTGAATTGATTCAATCATTGTATTTCTATAACAATTCATCATTTCCAGACCAAGAAGGAGCGGGCTCTCATAGGGCAGGACTATCTTGTCTCGTCATACCGTGTTTACACAAGAGGCATCTCAGCTGCGTTTTAATCTCACACCTATCTGACAGAATAGATATGCTTTCATTTCAATTACAGCTGTCTACACAGGCTACAACAACTGTTACTCTTCCTGTATAACCATGACCTACAACGTGTTGTTAGGCTTGAAATCTATTTCCTCACATGCTACAGATGTACAGGTGTAGTTGAGGCTCAGCCGATCCAGTGTAGACAGGATGGTACATTACATTAACAGCAACACTAGCAGACATCTACAATCGTAAATTGAATGGTTTATTTTTTTGTAAATGTATGGTTTTATAATTATATTTTTTTATATAGATCTGCTAGAGCACAAGGCGTTGTTTAACCAATTAAAAAAATTAATTGGATAAGCATTTTTCACTAGATAATGAAAAGTCACAGATAAACAATTGATTGAGACTTTTATCTCATTCCTTTCCTATTTTGTCTAGTGTGTTTTTTTATCTTATTTTCCATTTATTACAGCATTCTATCCCTGTTTTAATGTTTATTCTGCCTATTTACCCTAATTGTAAAGCAGTTGTATTTCTAATATGAAGGCTGCTATGATTATTTTCACTGTTAATTAAATCAGAACATGAATCCCTAATTAAATTATTTGTTAGTTGCAGCATTAATTGGGGCTTTTTAACTCTGCTTTTCAATGTGATATTTCAGTATAATTTCAGGTTGTGTAATAACTAAGTCCTATGTGATCCAGAAATAAATAAAGTGATTAGAGATAAAACAAATGTTACCTCGTATGTTTCGAGCCGGTCCAGATAGGAGAGTAGTTTCAGTCGGCTCCGACACAGCTCCTTCTGCTCCAGAGTCAGCCTAACAAAGCAAATGTTAACACTTTAATCAACAGTATGCTGACACAATCTCAACACTTCATAATTAAAATGTTAAATCCCGACTTAAATAATAAAATTGCAAGATCTGGAAAGTGCTTCAAACTTCAACCCTGACCCACACACGTCACTAATGCACACACTCTAGCTTTAAATGAACTGTAAATTGACCCTATACAGGCGACCCGCAGGGACCTATATAACAATGCTGTGGACTGGTGACTACAATACCACACAGTGCCCTCTAGACCTAATCATTTTCTAAGGGCCACAAATCAACTCCTTATGACCACAAGAGCCCTTTGGTTGTTATGTATGGGACGCTAGTTGTCAATGAGGTGAGTGATTGCCCTGCGAGAATCAAATCCATTTTCAATGTCATTTAATCACAACCATAAATAAATTGGATGACCACGAACACCAAGGCACAAGGCTATATAGGATCTATATACAATTCAATCACCCGAGGTATGCCCAGGGGAAAGGACCCACGAGGCCGAGTACGACAGTTCACACGGTAAGATAAAAAAAATAAACACCACATATTCACACACCTCCAAGAATATTCCACAAGGAAACAACCTGACCATGTGGAGCAGTGCCGAAAGCTCCCTGGAAAAAAAGCTTGGCCTGGATCAACCGCAGTGTGACCACAGGAGAGCTGACCCCTCCACCGCCGTCTTAATCCCTAATCCCTCATTACAGAGTGCGCTATCAGGCCTTATCAGGGTTCCTACACAGACTAACAGAGATTAACACTGGCTCAACACACTCTCTGGCACATCAAAGAGGGGCAGCTTAGCACTCGAACCAGTGGTAATTATTGCTTTGCTCTGCCTCTTCAGAGAAAAAAAACTAGGAGATGGAGCAAGGAGAGGGGAGAGAAGGAGCAGATATGAGAGGAGATGTTAGAAAGCTATTTTAACCTGTCTGTTCTTCTCTCGGGTTTCACATGATGACTCAATCCAACATAAAGTGACTTCAGAAGCAAAAAACAAGGTGACAGGCTGTCCTTCTGTCAAGGTTTGATAAAACACTTAATTTACTACATAAAGGTTTATTAATCTAAATGTAAAACCTGTAAATGTGTGTTTATAACCTTGTGGGCCACAGAGCTAATGTATGCATTATAAGCTAAATTGTAAGTACTGTGGAGAGAGACAAAGGACAGGATACAATATTTGAATTTCAGCATGTGCATCACTAGTGCAAAGACTTTAAATGAAAGTCGACGTAGTGACCGTTGCGTCCCCCATTGATTTGAGGAGTGCGTTTTTTGAAGCCCTGAGTTTGGCAATTTGGCATTTTGGCTGTGGCAATGTCTGTTCCTTGGAACCAGAAGTGACACAAGGGTGGAGCAAAGTATAACCTAACCAACAGCTCAAACAGACATGTTTTACAAATTCAAATAAGCCTTTACAAACTGAAATCACACTGTGAAAGGGTTTGTATTGTAATATGAAAAATCAGACCATGCCGCAGTAGCAAACTGTCTATCAAAATCAATCAATCAATTTGACTCTAAATGGGACCACAACTATTCATTGAAGATTGTGATGTATTGTAAATACTTGTAAGTAGCAATTTAGACCATAAACTAATGAGGAAAATGTTAACTGAGGTAATAAATCAAGTGAGAAGTATCCGGGTTATTTCATAGGCCTCTATACAATCAGACGCCTTTTAACAAATGTCACCCCCTGCTGGAAATGTTCATTTAAGGTTCTTCCGCATTCGCTCATATTTGTGTAATTGTTCGGTACGTTGGTTTGTGCCTATATCATTACATGTCATTCTAATACAAATTACGGAATCAATAACAGCAATTCATGAAGACATCTTAATTTTTTTTTCTCTGAAGTGCCCATTAAAGAGAAACGCCATCACGGCATTGTGGAAATGCCGGCAGCAGGTCAGAGTTGGCTGAATTTAGTAAAGGTCCATGGCTTTTGCTTCTCAATAGCTAATCTTACTTACAATTTCACAGCTGTACAAGATAAACAGCGTGTAGACTGTTACACATACAAATGGGCAACTTGGCAGTACACCAAAAGGGTAACAGAGAGCCTGCGCCTTTACAAAAGGGTTATATTAGTTCCCTGAATTGCCTTTACATAAACAGTGACTCAAGGGGAAACCGGGGGGTAAAGTGGGCCATGAGCGAAAACTAAAAAAGCGACACATCTGAATGGAGATTGAAGAATGTGAGGTTTAAGATGTAATGTGCCCGACTTTAACTGCACTTTAGGCCGTTACCCATCATTGCACACGCTGTCTAATGTAAAGAGACTGAACCCTGATTGCCTCAAGGTGTGTGTGTTTTGGTGAGCGTGCGTGTGTGTGTGTGTGTGTGTGTGTGTGTGTCTTATATTTCAAAGCCATCAGGACTTCAGGTTATTACAATTAGATGGCATCACACCTCCATCTCTGTACTAACACCCTGAATATGACCGTACTGGGCAGAGATTGAACCGCATAAACAGGACAACGCAGTCGCTTTCATGTACACACACACCGAAAGGCGGTGTGTGATAAAAGCGATTATCACACAGTGCGAAGGGGATAAAATTGGACTGCATAAACAGGCAAAAACACTTCTGCACATGTCTTCACATGCGCTTAGATGCATCAGTAAAGCACACCCACACACACTGCTACTGCTGGAGCAAATGTGAAAATGAAACTTCTGATTGAGTTCTGAATTTGATCAGATAACAACATAAACACCTTGCAGCAGACCACACACACACACACACACACACACACACACACACACACACACACACACTCTCTCTTACACACACACACACACACACACACACACACACACACACACACACACACACACACACACACACACACACACACACACACACACACACACACACACACACACACACACACACACACACACACACACACACACACACACACACACACACACACACCTTGCTGTTGTATGCAGAAAGTCAGAGCAGCAGATATAACGGCCCTCGGCACATTCTGAATTATACTTTATGCACACAGACTGATGAGAAGAAGAGAAAAAATAAAACTGTCTGCTTGAAGCCCAAAACAGTTTTAAAAACAGACTGGAGCATGACAGTTAAGAATATGAAGCAATAACAGAGTCCTGAGGAAGTCTGTATTTCATGTGACAATACATTTCAGGGTGACTGAATACAGTGCAAGAAGAGCACAGTGCCTATAAGGGTAAAGCTGGTAGTAACAAGAAAGGATGGAGAAGGAGATCATTTTTATTAATTTATTAACAAAATGTGTGTTTGCTTAAAGGGGATTAACATTGTCATTGAGATGGTTTGACTATGAATATTGAAAATGTGGCAAGAACTGTCAATAGCTACCTTTAAGAGTGACTACTGCCATTTGGCTAAACTATTTAATTATATGATATGATTGTGTATGATTATAGGTGCTATGTCATAAGTCAGCATCAACAATACACAACTAAGATTGACTAACTTTTTTTTTTCTGGAACTGAAATCTTAATTCCTTTTTTAGGTTTTGTAGAAATAGTTATTGGATTTAAAAGGTTTTAAAACTGGCCCAATTATGCTTTTTGGTCTTTCCCTTCCCTGTAATGTTATATAAGATTGTGTGGATGTGAATGGTCTGCAAAGGCTAGAATTCCAATCACAACAGAGCCAACCAATCAGAGCAGACTGGGTCCTCACTTCATCTTACATTATTACATTACACATAAAGAATGATCACCAATCCAGTCACTTCGATGCAGTAGTGTTTTTATAACACTGCTATTGGATCGTTAGCCAAACTCAAAGCCTAGGTACCATTATCAGGACGGAAAAAGTCTGATCAGTGAATCCCTATTCTCTAGCACACACATAAACGCACACAGACACAGACAGCCACCTAACACGCAGAGGGACGAAAGCTGCACTTACTGTCACAGTCAATAGTTAAATACAGCCCTTATCTACGCACAGGATCATCACACACAAAAGCACATACAGAGCAGCTGTGATCGATACTAAGCCATTTCTGTAATGGTGGTGTAGTTAAAAAGAAATTAAGAGAATTATTACCTGTCTCAGACCTTGGCTGCAGGCCTAAAGGCAACATGGGCAGATCATTTAGTGAGGGGCTTTGCTTCACCCATATTCACACACATTTACATGTATATATACACAAATATTTTGGGCACAGGTGTAAGAGCAGCCTGGCAAACACTATAACAAATTCACTTAAGATTGAATGTAATGTTTTGCATTAATATTTTTTAATGCTATGGATTTTCTAACTCCCTCTTTTATCTTTTTTTTATCTTCCATCTCCTCTTTTTCAGCCAGAGACTACAGGTCCGCAATAAAGCTAAATAGTTGTATTACCCAATGAGCCAAACAGATAGAAAATCAAAAGGGACAAAATAAATTTAACAGTGAGCTGAGGCGGAGATATTAAATTATGTTTCTGCTCCTCCTCATTCAGATGCAGACCGGAGGCTCACTGGTTAAGCATCTGAGGTGAAGAGAACAAAAGAGACAGCTCAATATAGCTACTGAAGCTAGAAATCCTTGTAACACAGTATAGGTATGCCGTTTTAAAAAGGGGCATAATTCATTTCAGAGCATTTTCTTGGGGTTACATCTGGTCTTTTCAACAGATGTGTTTAACATGTGTTAGACCTGATATTAAACTTAAGAGTCTTTCATGATACATGGGTATGTGTATGTGTGTGTGTGTGTGTGTGTATGAGAGGTGATTAGTTAACACTAAAGGGTTTTTCATTAGTCTTTCCCTGGGCACTCAACAACAAAGGCATAAATTACCTCCAGCAGATTACCCACTAATCTCCACCAATGTGCTCTCCCTCTTGCTCCCTCATCCTCATTAATGTCCCTGCCTTTATGATCCCCGCTCTCCGGTGTGCGACCTAATCAAACAATCAGTGTTAAATTTGGCAGCCCCCTCTGCCATTCCCTTATTGTTTCCTCGTCTGCACCTTAAATACCGTCACCACAATCTCTCCTTTCCCACAAATGGCAGTGGAAGTCGCTGCCCCTGTTATTATATTTCATACTTTGAATAATAATGACTTAATTTAGGCTCTAGCTACTAGGCGACACACACAGGCCAGCGGCAGGTTTTCCTTAGTGAGATTTCAACACCCACCTAACACCTGCTACCGAGAGCTGGAAGCTGTTGTTGAATTCTGGTGATGCAGACTTTAAAAATGAAAAAAATATTACAAATACCCTCCAACAGTAAAGTGACAACACTAAGAGTGTACTGTAAAGCAAAGAAATAGGCACTGTGTAGCCGTTTCAAGGCACAGCAAGCTAGCATTTAGATGTTTAGAAAATAAAAAATGCACCATCTTAGTTAAGACTGTAAGCATGCTAACATGTGCTAGTTATGTTTTTGTTAATGTGGTCATTAACAAAAACATTGAATGAATTTCAAACTGATGATGACCACAGTTAAAAGGCTAGGGGATCCAAAATATACCAAATCAGTATCTGGAAACCATGAATCTTCTCTCCTGAATTCATGGTAATCATTCCCTAGTTCAGACATTTTACCATTAGCCAAAAATGTCAACAATACTTGTTGAAATAGAGAAAAAGTAATGGGATTACTAAAGTCAACATCTGGTAAGCATGATTATCGGCACAATATTTGGGGCCAATCCATCAAAATAAATGTTGACCTACTTCACTTAAAGGTAGGGTAGGTAAGAATGGAGAAACCAGCTCGAGTGCGCTAGAATTTGAAAGTACGCAGCCGAAAAAAATCTGCCCCATCCTTCAGACTTCCTTACAGAGCCCCTCCTCCAACACACACGGACGCGCACATGACCAATGAGGGCACGAGATAAGTTTGTGCACAAATGGAATGCTGACAGGCAGGTAGGCCATCCAGTTATTTTAGCCGGGCCGGCTCAGATGATTGGTCGTGCTTTTTACAGCGCCACGGCTTCCACAGATGATACATTTTTGTATGTATTTATTGTCAAAGCACTTAAGATATTCATTGCTATCGGGATGTTAAGAGCATTCCATGGAATATAACAAAAAGTGTTTCTGAAGTGAATTTCCTACCCCACCTTTAACAATGATACAAATAAAATTGTCCTGCTGGTGGAGCTGAATACAAATTCAGAGTCACATGTCATGGCAATCAATTTTATAGTTGTCAAGATTTTTCTTTTGGAACCACAAATGCACACCTCATGGTGATGCTAGGGTTGAAGTCAGGGGAATAGGACAGTTATTAATGATCGGTTAATCATGGATGTCTGAACATAATGTCATGTCAATATACCCAATAGTTGTCGATACATTTCAGTCTGGACCAAAGTAGTGAACCGACCAACAAATCAATAATCCAGCAGACCAACAAATCGATTCCTAAACCCATGCTTAAAAAAAAAGAAAAGAGGGCGATACTTTCAAGTCAAGAGTTTACGTATGAAATAATGGCTTGAGTAATTTTGCACAAGGACACTTCAGCCGTGCAGTTGCTTGCCAACCAAGCTTGGGTCCTCCAGCTGAAGTATCTGTAAGCACTACCCAGCCACTGTGATTGTGTTCAAATGCTCCTGTCTCTGTAAATTCAAAAACTTTGGCAACATTTCTGCCTGCTGCGACTTTCTGTCTTGTTCTGCTGTCTGACTGCATAACCGACAGTGTGTCTGTCTGTGTACCTGCTGAAGTCGACCTTGGCCAACAGCTCTAGTCTCTTCTTGTTCTCCCGCTCCTTCTTCATCTCCAGCTCCTCGTCTCCTGACAAGATGTCTTCGTACGGGAGGTCGTCGAGGTCAACGTCGCCTGGCATGATAAACCTGTGAGAATGCAAGGAAATGACACATACTGTGGCTAGAGGGTAAATACGGAGAAACAAAATGAGGCATGCTGAACGAGCCACAGGTTGATAGGAGGGAAGGAGGAACAAAAGTCGATTTACATTCTTTCTATTTATGTGTTTTTTTCCTTACCTGCCCCCATCTTCCCTGTTTCCTATGGCGATGAGGGCCTCGAGGTCGGTTCCCTTCAGGCCGTATTGAAGCAGCTCTTTGGTTGCGTCAACATTCTCTGGTACTCGCTCCACACACTCGTGCAGCACCCATGAGCGCTTGCAGATCTTGCTCTGAGGGTGGGATTTTGGGAATGAGTTCAGAAGAAATGATGGGATGAAATGAGAAACAGAATTAGGAGGGAGAGGTGTGAAATTCTGCAGCAAATTGGTAAAAATGATGCGTGAAATAGAGTAAAGGGACTTAAGCGTGTGCTGTAACCCTACTCACCTACACACACATACTGTATATTGAATACCAGAAGTCTAATATGCTTTGATAGACACCAACAATCTGACACAATTCTTCTCTCTCATCCATTCTTTTCTCCTCCTTTCCTAATTTCCGGATATATATATATATATCTCTCTTATTTCTCTTATCTCTCACCAGATAATCTTGTATTGAGGCGATGCTGACGGTACTCTTCCTCCACTGTCTCTGGTACACCAGGTCAGAATCCAGGTTATACGCTTGAGCAAGAGACAGGGCTTCACCGTATTCCTCATTGTCAATCTGCGGGATAAACAAAAATGCAAACAACAACATAACATTAGGAAGACAAGATCAATATACATGGATGTTATCTTCACAGATAGCAGGGAACGTATATGATCACAAAAGACGAGCAAATGGACATTTATTAGGAAGTGAGTCACTGTGAAATGAAGGAAACTGTCTGATAAGAAGGTTGTTGGGGGCAGAAAATCTAATTAAGAAACATCATTTATTTATTGTTAAGGTTCATTACTAAACAAATATTGCTAAGATAAAAGAAGGGCCGATCAGTTTCATGCATTTCGGAATCTGTGAGGTACCTTTTATGCTTTATATCCATTTATCAACCTAAGAGACTGATTCAAGCATGTCCCTGAAGAGAATTAAACGAATGAAATGATTTAAAGGAACTACAACCACATGGTGTATATAAAGAAATATTAGAGAGGAGAAAGTCCTTGGCCTGATTTCCCATCAGGCTGAAGGACAAAGAAGCTAAGGTTTTGAATAAATGTGTTGAAAAGCTATGGCACTCCCGAAGTCCTGAGTACGCACACTGAATACTCAAAGACTGAATAGGAGCGCTCTAACACGCAGATTTCAATCTGTGTAGCGAAGTGACACACACTGGATGGGGCTGCTACGTAGGGATAAGGAGAATGGCTGAAGGCGAATTGAATATTTGGGGATATTTGGGAAATAAAATCAGAAACCCAAAAAGAGGAATCAAGAGCAAGGCATTGGGACTTATTACCACACAGTGAGTATTGCCATATGTGTTGCAGGTATTTGGTCATCAAGCAAAGTATTGGCTAAAAAAGTAAAAGTAGAAAAAACGGACTAAAGCCTTATTATACCATAGCCTTATTTATTTATTATGCAAATAGTATAACCCGTGTATTTTACTTAAATGTATTAACATTATCCCACCAATATGATTTCAAGGCTTTGTCTAGAAACATCATTTTACAAATATTATACCACTTTACATCATTTATTCTTCATGTAATGAATATTAATATATCATTAAGGCGCCCACTTATGTTTTCGTAGCAAGAGTAGCTTCCTAAATTTGCACCAAAAAAGCTGTCACAACCTTTATTTATTATTCATAACCTCCATAATTCTATAACCAGGGAAAGCAGTAAAAATGTGCCAAAACTAAAAATTGTAAAAAGCAAATGATCACGCTATATCAAGAGATGCCTATTCCCATGGGACAAATATTATCACATGACCTTTGTGTTACGGTATGAATATGTACTTGGCAAATTAAGAGTATGACAGACGACCTCCACTATTATTACAAACTACAGGTCCCCAGGTAGTACTGGTCCTGCACTAATAAGACGTTGGATGGAGCACATGAGAAAGAGAAGTGTACAATCATTACGTGTTTGATAGCATTTAATGTGGTAAAACACCACTGTACCGTAGAACATGCTCACAAAGTCTCCAGCATAGCGTTTATTTGTCTTTGGAAGCAGTAGAAGTAGTGCTGCTGACATCATTATTATTATTTTCAAATTGCCTAAATAGATGTTGACATATAATAATACTAAAAGAGGTTTTGAATCACATCAATGTCTCACACACTGATTTGATCCAACAAAAGCACTTTCATGAAGACCTGCTGTATGTGTGTGATGGCACATGTGTGCCAGCGTTCTGACTGACACACATCGGCTGAGTATCCATCTTTTTCTGTGTGTAGGAGTAGAAAGCAACACATTAGCCAGACTGCGGTTCCTTGAGGGCAATAAGAACCCCACACAGTTAAACCTCACGTAGGAGGACATCAAAAACAGCTTCCTTCTCTCTCCGGATTCGGCTAATAAAAATGTTAGGAGCTCTGCCAGTATGCTCCTCACGCAGGCAGGGTTACGCCACCGAACGCCTCATCAAACCGCTGAAACACATGAATAGGCTGACTTGAGGAAAGACTTGAGGTCTCACTGCAAAACCTCTGGTGAACCTCGGAGATCAGGTCATTCCGCTTTCCGTGTGCGAGCGAGTGCGAAAATGTCAAGCTGTTCAAACATAACTAGCAAAATGCAGGCCTTGACACACACAAGATAGACATACTAATATGCATGCACACACATGCAAACCATACACACTTTCATTCACTCACACGCCTACAATTGGATACTTGTGAATAAAATATTCCAACAGGAGCGCAGCAGCTGCGGTTAGTCCCGCGGATACCAAGTGGTACAAAGAGATAATAATGATATATTACCGTGTAACTCTCCACTGTTAGAATTGATGGCGATGACTAATGGCATCTAATGATGATGACAATGATGAATAAGGAAGTAGATGATGGGTCATAAAAATGACTGATGAACCATGGTAAAACTTTGGACCATTGAGAGCTGATGGTGTGTTTTATGATGGAGCATGTTGTTGTATTTGCTGCAATTTGTAGCGAGCCGCAACAACAACCATATTTCCAATGCGGCAATTAGCATCTCTGAGAGGCCCTTGGGAGTGGAAAGAATTGCCTTAAAAGCAGACTGAACATCTTGCTTGTTTTTTCATTTCTCCTCAACAACACTCTGGCGTGGGTCCAACAAAACAATTGCACTTCAGTGAGCTGGCACAGGATTTATTTAGTCAGAAACCAATTTTGTAGATCAGCCTGTTATAATTCAGTCAGTGACCAAACAGATTCATATGACGTCCTTCAGTTGCTGCTAAATTAAGCGGCAAAAAGAAAATGAAGACTTTCATGGGAAATGTGATATCCACCATTGAAGAGAATTGATGACTGATGTTAAAGCGTGATTGCCGGCATTACAGTGAGGCACATGAGACCCATGTATCACTTTGCATATGATAAAGGCCTTACATAAGGGGTTGGTGTAATTAGGAATGGAGTGTCTTTGAAATATTAAATAGGTAATTCCTTTGCCCAAATGAATTTACAACACTGTGTGAGGCAGAGAACTGCACGTCAGCTCTGGAATAGCTGTTTAGATTGCTAAGCTAAACGAGCATTTAAATCCAACCATGAAGGCAGAAGCAGTGAAGGAAAGCTTTTCTTGTAAATAAATAACCAAAAAGAATCATAACTCATAAAACCCTAAATCCTACTGGGTTTGTTCACACTTGGACCTGAACTGTCAAATAAAAAGCACATTTCCAGCCACGATGTGGGAGAATTTCATTAAATATGAATGCTGCGATGTGACTTCTCCTCAGAGTCACTATCCATTCAAAACCTCAAAGACAAACGCCAGCCGCTCTGTCACTCTGTAATTGGGCGCAGTGTGCATGTAGCCGTGCTAACATTTGCTAATGAGCACTAAGCACGAAGTACAGCTAAGGCTGATGGGAACATCATTAGTCATGTAGGGTCACTAGTCATTTACAGAACGTATTGGAGAAAGTGAAGATTTGCCCTGATGATTGAAGTGATTACAATTCATACTAAATATCATGAAAATCCATCAAACAGTCATTTAGACATTTTATAAACAAAGAAGGTCAACCTCTTAGATTCACCCTCATGTTTGTCCAAAATACCATGAAATTGGTGGATCATTTTAGACTTTTTTGGACAAATTCTCAACACGATCACAAGATTACATATTACAAACCTTTCCCCTCTTGACACAGACCTGATTATAGTTTTTTGACATTGTGGGCCTGAACGTGCTGCTTCTGTTTAACCTCTCATTATGACTGAATGGCTTTTCATTTCTCAATTTCACTTCCTATTACCGAGTGCCTTGTGTTAACGATGGTCTTCCATTCAGAACACTTTGATACACACGCATGCAATCTTGAACAACCCTGTATAAAGTCAGTTTAACATCAAGTGACGAAAGGGCGTAGCGGGGTCATTGTTGCAGGTGGTCTTGTTATTGCAAAATAAAAAGAACTGAAAGAAAATAAAACTCCAGCAAAATATACCGAAAATAAGGGAATTCATCTGATAGTCATTGACTTATTTCAGTCTGGACCAAAGCAATTAACCCTTCGACCAACCTCCCTTCCTAGAACCTTGAAGTAAAGTTCCTGGATCATGGTTATCCTCAAAATGGTGAGACTATTTTTACAGAAAGCTTTGCGATGGACTATCCATAAAGAGGTCTCATTATTCTTTCTTTATCTGATCCAGCCCATTCAAAATGTGCTCTTTCAAATGAAAAGTGGGACAAAATGGATTCAGGCTCAGGTGAAAGTCTTAAAATTCAAAAGGAGGACACAAATGAAGTCATCTGCATTCTTCTTACGGACTTAGTTCTGATACTGCCATCAAAAAGTACAGTAACTCTTTGCTGTAAAGCACTTTTTGGAGCCAAAGTCATTGGCGGGCAGGGAAAATTGTGGCCGACCCCTCCCACCCTGGACAGACAGTTTACCCTGCCCCCCTCTGGCAGGAGACTGCGCTCCATCAGGACCAAAACCTCTCGCCACCCGAACAACATTTTGTTCTTTTTAGTCTTTTTTTAATACTGTGAGTCATGTTCATGCTCAACTCGACTGCTTTTTGCACATTTTTGCAAACATGTCTGCACAGCCCTCCACTTTATAATATAATACACTGTAGTTTGCCATATATAGTCATTGTCCTAAGTGTTTTTGTTTGTTAGCTTTTAAGGTTATTTGTATAGTTACATTTGGTGTAAACACTTGTCTTTAGCTTCCTTATTAATGCTATTCTTAAATTACAAGAAGACTTTTTATTTATTTATTTTTTTACTTTGCAACCTATTTTTAGATTGTTTATGTTCGCACCACCAGATATCAAAGCAAATTCCTTGTATGTGTAAACCTACCTGGAATAAACTTGATTCTGATTCTACTTGTAGATTTTCCGTCCTACCTTCCTCTGGTACAGTTCCTCTGGTGTTGTCGACCTCAGACTGACCAGACGGTAGTTTTTCATCACGGTGCGGGGACGTTTTCGAGGTGGCGCAAACCTCTCCATCTCCGTCACGTAGTACAGGCCCTGCTTGACGTAGCCAAAGTAGCGGGCTTTAGCTGAGGACTCTTCATCTGAATCAGAGTCTCCGCCATCATCCCCCTCCTCATCGTCACTGGCCCCGCCGCTCAGGTTGCTCTCCAGGCGGCCGCGCTTCTGAGCCAGCTTCACCTCACACTGCAGAGCATTAAGTAAATAAAATAGAATGGAGGTCAATTGAGGGATCACATAGTTGAGAAGTAGTGAAGCGGAACCATTCAAAAATGATGGTGCACAAGAGAGTTGAGGAACAAGAGTAATGCATAGTGATAACTTTGAATTATACTCCACACACACGCATCTGATGTGGCAATAAAGCAGCAGTTGTTTCTTTACATAAAAATACATCTGCCTTGTTGGCCCAAATCATAAAGTGAGGTCTGCAAAACAAAAACAACGGCCATTTCCAAAGATTGAACGTATCAGATGTACAGCTTTCGCCCGGAATGACTAGTGGGGGACACTTCTTTGCTGAAAAATGAAGCATGGGTGTGTGTGTGTGTGTGTGAGGGAAACTGCTGAAGCAATTGGAAACAGGACTCAGAGAGACATGAGGAGAGCTGGAACTTTGATGGAAAACACTGACGGTTTATTTGGCGCTTCAGCCGGAGAATTCACAAGACATGTCATGAGCCACGAGTTGACCACAGGTTGAGATGCCAAACCAATTCGGAAGATCTCTACCACAGACCCATGTATTTAGCTAGTTCTGAGAGAATAATCAACATTGTGCATAACAAGATAGAATCATAACACCTCTATCAGCTGACGCCAACAGGCAGGAACAGGGAGACAAAGTACTGAGAGCACAGCAGCCAAGGTTACAGGTGCCTGTGCTCAGTGAGGTCAGTATAAACTGATAAACTGGGTCAAAGTTATGGGCCTTGGAAAATATTTCCCCAACAGGGTGTAATGCAGCATTGTTTACATCATAATCTGGCTAACTTAATTATTTAACTCCATCAAGCTGGATCAGCAAGCTGTCAAAAGCACAAACAAGATTCTAATCCAAAGCTAAGCACAATACTTCTTCTAATGTGTCCTGTCCCGGGAGATAGTACTTGCCAATTGTTTTTATCCCTACGCTGCAGCAAGACATCATATTTTGTAGTGGTGCCCCTATGGGTTTTTATGCTCACTATAGAAAATGCTATCCTCGAGCAGAGGGCCTCCCAGCCAGGGTTTATGAAACATTTAGCACCTGTAAAGCTTTAAGTGCCTTACTCAATGAGGAGCTGAGGCAGCTTCCATAGTGCTGCACTAATACATTACTCATCACGCGCAGGAAGATGCACGTGTAATCATCGTAAACACACAAGGTCACATATTCTACATTATCACATCTGCGAGGCGGCACACAATACAAGCCCCGTGCTCAAGGTAATTTCAACACGCATAAAACCCTCAGCTTTAGATACAGCTACGCCGGCACCCATCCCCCCCCCCTCTCCATACTGAAGCAGGCTGATGAAACCGTTCCAAAAAGTTGGCAGCTGGCTGGTAAAAAAAAAATCTCTCTCTCTATGCAATCAGAGAAAAAGAAGAAAAAAGGGAGGACTGAAGTAAACGTGGAATGGCTGTGATAACAGGGGCTTTGTGGGGGAATAAAGAACGAGGGATTCCTGTCTCATCATTATATACTTCAACAACTTTACACATATTCTGTTACCATACAGTAGGCTGTATTTGTAAAGGCTTTTACACAATGACTATAAAAACCATAGTCAGATATAAATATTCAATATAGTCATTGGTGACAGTGATTCACATCAGCTGGCAGTACAAATTCATAAATCATCTATTTTCACAAAGAAACATTGTGCCGAAAATGATTTTTTCTTTAATATGTTTATAAATGAAACAAAATAACTGACATCCCAATAATATACCGGTCCAGGGTTTGCATTTTTTTGCCTAGTGCATGCTGGGTTAGTGTTGAGAACATTTTAAATGGAATGAAAAGAGGATATATTGTATTGTATAAAAGGCCTTTAAAAGCCCTGAAGGCCAAGGTCTATGATGTATGATGCTAAAAGATGGTTTTACGCTAACATGAGTCCCACATGCCATTCATTAACGTGCAAACCCCTTAAATGTTACTTAACCATACATGCAAACCGCTCTCTGAACACGTACCTCCAGGCTGAGGAAGCCCACTTCGTGTGCCGCCGTGACTCGAGGCGAGGGCTCGAACCACTCGCAGGATTTCCCCAGGAGGTTGCGCAGCGTCCTGACTGAGGACACGGTGACGGAGCCAGAGCAGCGAGCCAGAATCAGCACCACGTCGCTCCACCAGCTCACATCCTCCAGCGGGTAGTACTGCTCCTTATCTAGGACAGGAAACATACGTTTTACAAATGTGCATATTCACCAGAGAAATGTGGTGGAACTTGTATTTGACATTGTTTTGTCCACTTTTAGGATTCTATTTTGTTATCACATTAACATTTTAGAATTGGCTTCCTTCACTGAGACATATTTACACATGTGGGCAAATTCATCACTTGTCATCCATGAGATGAAGACTCGCACAGATTATTGCTTACACAAGCTGTCACTGCTGTCATTACAACTGGCCCAAAACTGTCAAAAAAAAAGGGACTGTAAATCTGCCTAAAGAGGCGTACGCACACACAGCACAGACACACACTCACAAGCTTGGACACTTTGAAGGAGGAAAATATTTTCTGGCCTTGGATGTGTGTCTAAATAACTGTATAATTCAGAGAATAGTGCATGTCAAAGATCATTACACTGTATCCACAGTGCGCTGCTGTGTCAGCAACAAAGTCGGCTCTCTTTAGCCCTTCAGGCCAAAGTACCTTTTATTTTCTTCCTTCTCTCCAGCGATGTCTTCCACTCTGGGTTGATCTCGTCAAATCCTGGCTGCGGGCAGGACCGAAGGATGGTGGGACCAAAGAGGAAAAGAGGAAAAGAAGAAGAAGAAGGATAAGGAGGAGGAGGTGGGGGTGAAATTAATCTTCTAACCCTGTTTACACGTGAAGCACGCACATGCAACAGCTCTGCAGGCTCAGACCAGGCGATAAAGAGGAACACACACATACATCAGCAATACATGCAAATAGAGGTTGTGTCTAAGCTACCTCACTTAATATCTAATGGGCGTGCACACAATCCCTCTCTACCCACTCAGACTTGGGCCAGAGAGAGATTACATTAATACGTTCAGTCGAGCATCTAATGCGCAAAATAATGCCAGCACAGGACTGCAATGCTCACAGGTTTAGTCAGAAAAAGCATGCATACATTCTCACCACACACAGATAAACAGCTTAGAGGTTTACCTGTTGATCTTGGCTCCATGTGGCCCTCTGTTTGAGGGAGGGGACGTCCCACAGAGAGAGGCGACCCGAGAAGTGGATGACAGCGAGCAGGGCGCCGTCGGGGCTTAGGCTCATGCGGAAAACACCATCCTGGACAGACAAAATAGGCACACAGACAAATTTTGGGAGAAATTCTTCCTATTAAATAATTGACGATACTGAAAAAAAAAAAGAGGGATGGGTACCTTTTCATCTCCTTGTCTGGCAAAGAATCTGAAACTGGGGATCTTGAAGAAACCTCTCTTCTGATTCTAATAGACGCAGATAAGAAATTACAATAATTAGTGACTGTGTGTGTGTGTGTGTGTGTGTGTGTGTGTGTGTGTGTGTTTGTGTGTGTG